GTCCTTGAACATGGTGTTTGAAGGTGCTAAAGAGGAAAATGTAGACCTAAAATTACATGGAAAAAAGTTATCTCAATAGATTTAGAACATGTTGGAATCGAGGCAGATCTAGCAAAAGATAGAAAACATTGAAAATTGCAAATCTGTATATCTGATACCAATTAGAAGGTAGTGCTTACTTGAAAGACTCTTTGGGGTTGTTTGATTCAAAACAAGATTATCCTGGGATATTGAAATATATTATCAACCCAAATAGAGCATTTATGACATTGAGGATTCTCAAAGCCGCCGCCCTCAACTTGAGGTTGTGTCATAGCAGTAGTTGTTGAAATGTTGCACCGAAAAAATGGATCAAGTCATGACAGTTACAGAGAATGGCTAATTGTCATACTTATACATGGGATCTATTATTTGTTGCCTCAGCTTTGACACCCAGTCAAATTGGCGCAACTTGCATGGATTGGGTTAGTATGGACTGTGGAACTGTCCTCCACTGAAATGACTTGGCTTGGCTTTGTTGCCATTTTTAGGTTTTATTTTACAAAAGACAAGCAGTTCTGAGCTTCAAGTGAGCAATAAGTGTACATTTTCTACATTCGTAGTGTTTATTCAAATAATATATTTTGCCTTTATTTTTGGATTCTTTATTTCATTCATTGTTCAGTATTTCTAAAATTGAATTTGTCCTAATAGTTTCTTGCATATGGATGTCGCACTACACTCGTCGCAATATTCACCAATTTTAAATTTCATATGAATGCAACCAGTATGTGGAATAATATATGTTCAGCTTAACATAATGATACCTCACTAATTGAACTCTAACCTACAGTTACTAATTTTTTAGTGGGTGATGTTTTATTTTTTCAAAATGAATAAATAGGTCACATAAATGGCAATATTTACTTGATCACGAAAAAAATAGAAGATCACAAATGCCAAAACCAAGTGCTTTGTTGGCAACTATTGATAAAAAATTCATAAGTTGGTAATCATTTCTACGTGTGCAAATTTAGCCCAACCCACTAATTTGACAGCCCTAGTAATCATTCTAGCCCTACTTTGCTGTGGACTTCTTATCCAATAAAATGAATGATTGTATTAAATCAATCCTTCTTGTTGTTTGTTCTAATTGAATTTTTGACAATCCTTTTTTCTTTTTGTTTTCTGTGTGGCCAGGCTATGATAATATTGGGGCTTTTGGTGTCTGGTGAGTCTCTAATTCTAATAAATTGCATTAATTTTTTGTTAATGATCAGAAAAGATTTCTACATGTGAAATTGCTGCAAATATTTAATATTTTCTCAAGATATTCATATGTTGTTAGAAAGCAAAAATCACCAGTCAATTTTTTCTAAGCGGCTCTTTAATTTGAATGCTGGCATTATAATGTAACTTGTATTTGACTCGAATAGAATTAATTGGGGAAATGCGTAAGACCTTGACTTATAGCTCTCTTAAAACTTGAGCATACCCCTGCTGGCATTTTGATAACCTAATTTTGTCAAACATAGACCAACAATCAAGTATATGCTATGCATAATTATTTATCCAAAAAAATTTACTATACATAACTATCAACAATGCAAAATATAGTGAATGGAGTTCCATATTCATGAAAACCGGATTGGAATGATGCATGGTGCGGAGCCAAGACAAGCTATCTTACTAATAATAAGAAAGGGTTATGGGTCTCCGACCCTTGTAAATAGATGCTTTCTTCAGTCTCTATTTGGCAAAGATGTATATCTTCTCTTCTTTCTTTTTTTTGGGTGCTACATGGCTGCTATTGCAAATGACATAAATGCCATGATCGACTTGTTGAGCTCATTACACAATTTGTAATGTAGCCTCCTCTTGTACCTATTTTTCAGCATTCTCTTATTGTTGAAGTTAATATACTTACCTTTAACAATCAGAAAAAGGGAGACGGGGAAGAACTTAGAAGTTGCAAAATAAATAAATAAAAAGCTTTCAGTGTAGCCATGGATTCTTTTATAACAGCAACATACCCGGTGTATTCCCACAAGTGGGGTCTGGGCAGGGCCATATATTCTTTGATAAGACTTCAAGAAGTAGAAGAGGAGAAGCTAAAGTGCTATATGTAACTACCTTACCAGCTTTTCTAAAAGTATTCATCCGTCTCATGAACTGCAAATCTTTTCACACCAAACATCATTTGCTCCCTCCAGCTTTTCCATTGTGAACATCTCTTGAAATATTAATATGTAGTTATATACTTTAGTATTACCTGTGTATAACTTTGCTTTTATTATGAGAATGATGTTGTTAGTATAGAGCGCTCTTTAGTCTAGCAATTCTAAAAGTATTCATCCTTCTCATGAATGGAATTTTTTTTCCTCACCAAGCATTTTTTGCTGCTCCCCCCAGCTTGTTTTGTGAAGGTCTCTTGGAATATTAACATGTATTTGAGTATTACATGCGTAAATTATCTGCAAATGATGTTAGGATTAAACTATATTGCATCTTTGATGAAATGCCAACACATTTGAACGTAGGATTTCAAATAACCACCACCTTGGTTGTGTGTATTGCAGTGTTTTTGATTATTTGTGTGACAAGAGTTGCAAAGGCTGCTTTAGAAAAAGCACTGGCTGAAAATGAAGACATTGATGACATATTGTCAATACCAGAGCTACCAACCGTGGCTGATTCAGCTGCACGTCTCGACCAGCCCCTTATAATAAAGATAGATTCTGCTCAAGACAATCATGAAAAATAGGACTGGTATTATCTTTGTAAATTTCATACTTGCGCTATGGCTATAGGTATCATTTCTTATTGATGATTTTGGCATCCCTTTGGTGAAGCTTTTTCATAGTCTTCATTTGTACAGGCAGATCATACAAATGGACGTAGTTTGGCCAGAAATTGAATTATTTAGTTTCTTTTTGGGGCTACTTTAAATCTACAAGTCTTGGATTACCATTACCACCAGTGTAATAAACCCCGGGAAATAATTTTCTTCCTTTACGCGTACCCTTAGTCTACTTCTCAAACCCATAAGAACCCTTTATCATGTTCTTGGATTGGACTTGATAAAGCACTTGCTCCTTATATTCTCAAGAGAAAACTAAGACAACTAGTTGGACTTTAAACTCAGTTGTGCATCTGTTTGTGACAGTCATTTTATTGGAACTGAAACTTATGCAATGTTTTGCCGAGTTACTTTTGGATCCATAGAGTGAGCAACTGGTGAAGGCGACTATGGTTGGCCTTGAATTGGTTTGTTTCATTCTGGATGGATGGTCATTCAACTTTTACTTTATTTCACGAAAGTCTAAACTATTTTTTGTAACGAGAAAGGATCACTCACTCAACTTTGCCCAAGTATCACACGAAGTTATCGATAGAACCTTTATCTCCTTACTTGGGAACACTAACATATGGATTTCAAAAAAGGATTTCATGTTCTTGCATTAGGCATGTTGCATTTTATCAATAGAACCATCTGGGAACACAAGAAGATACTTTTAACTACTAGCACTACAATATTTTTCCTCTTTGTATATCAACAAACATCATAACAAGGGCACTAAAGTTTTTGGTGTGGCCTAATATTTAGTAGTACTTTTCACCAAATGGCTGGTGGGTCAGGACCACAGTCAAGTCAAGTTCCAATATCTTAAAAAAAGAATTGGCAATTCTGAATTCTTTGCCTGCCGCTGAAGTTTCACCACAAAGAGGCTAAAGGTGCTCTTGTTAGAAATTATAATTATTAAAGTTAAAAAAAGATTAAAAAAGCACAAGCATAATCATGACAGATAAAGCAAAATTATTTGAAGCCTAATCCATAATTCACTATTAAACAATTCTTGCTTTTCTGACCCCAAGAAAGTTGCTTTTATCTTGTTATAGTCCAAATTATGTGGTACCTTAGAAATGAAGATTGGACATTGTTGTCAAGAAAATGGACATTTTTCTTAAATCCCCTTCAAACACCTTAATTTTTTTGGCCTACACTATATCATCCTAATAAGCCTATCATACTACTTAAATGTTGTTTATTTTTTAAAAAAGTTTTAGGAGGCACTTCTTAATCACTGAAAGATACAGGTGTCTTTATGAAATATCATATTCTATATAAATTATGTCACTCCTTAATAGAAAAAATGTGTCATAGTCTCACAGCTAATAAACTTAATTATAACTAGTAGTAAATTTACAACCACCTACTCTATTAGCCTAAGAAATTTGCTAGTCTTTTCCCTACTTCTTTTTCTTGAATGGGCCAGCGCTCCGGAGGTACATATAGACGGCCCTTCGGTGTTTTGGTGATACAAATAAAGAAAAGATGATGGATAATCTAAGGTTGCGTAAGACCTGATCTGCTTTCTAGTTAAGCTCCTTTGAGCAGGCTAGCTCTTTTAAGTCCACTAATGTCTTTTAAACACCTTCCTCGGAGAAAGCAACCTAATGGGAATAGCTTCAAACCAAAGCAACCCTCCATTCCGGATGTAGAAATGGTTGACAAGCTCACGAACCTCAACCGAATTTGCTTCATTTTACTCAATTCAAAAAAGTTGGCAACTCAATCATAGATGTTGAAATCATTAATGACATGAAAAAATCCGTACTACTGAATAGTTCGTCAGCAGAGATATTCCCACAAATGCCTTTTTTTCCTCCTAGCATAATTATAATTATTCTATTAGCACAACATTAAATGGTTAACAATTTACACTATTAGTTTTACCATAATCACCGTAAAATATAGATGTCTTTAATAAATATCATATATTATATATATAATCATGTCACTCTTTAAAATCATGTCATAGTCTCACAGCTAATAAACTTAATTTCTCCCACTCCCTAACCAAAGAGTTACTACATTTTCAATGGCCCACAAATCCAAGAATATCAGAATCAATTAGTAGGCAAAGTTTGGAATATATAGCAATTGGCTGAAAGTTACACTAAATATATGATGACTATTTGCTTTATCTAGACCCTTTAAAAAGCTAGCCTTGGTGACCAAAAAAAGACTCAACTTGTTGCACATAATGAAATGGAGAGTGGTGGTAATTTTAGCCTTGTGTCTTTAGTGAAATGCTTCAATGGGTGCAAAGATCAAGCTCAAGTCTCTAGTTTTGGAACAAGGATTTGGAATTTTAGTGATAAATCAATTGAATTGCAAATAAGGGTTGGTTCAATCTTGAAGAAAGTTCATACATTGAAACCAGGATCATCAAAGAGGCTAAATTCCAAGAAAATTTACAAGGCTTATATGCCTAGTAATAATAATTATTATAAAGGTGGAGTTGAGAGTTTACTTTATTATTATGATGAATCTTGCCAACCTTATATTTGGATTAATGATACTGGTTGTGATTTTTCAAGAATGGTGAAACAACAATACATAAGTCTTGAAGATTTGAGGGATTGTTCTGAGCTTAAAATATTTAGAGATCATCAAAGAGGTTGCATTTCTGTTAGGAAGAAACCAAGAACAGAACTTTGTTGATTAAGTTCTTCTTTCCTGTTGGAGCGTCACTCCCGAATGGGCCCTGCAGTGCGCAATTCAGATTTAATCCAGACTTCTCCGTACACCGGCTGGAAAACAAAAAAAAAAGTGTTCTTCTTTCTCCTTTGCTTTGTAAGACAACATTTTTCATAATTAAAGATTTGTGATTTGAATGCTTTAAGTGCTATGGTTGATCTATGTACTTGTAGAAACTAAGACATGTAGATTGTTGAGTGATTTTTTTTTTTTTTTGGCCTTAAATTTCTTGTTTGTATTTGTAATTGTTGATTAGCATATATACTTAGAATGGATTACTTGACATGTAATTGTTTTATAGTCTAGTAATACCAATGTTAATCTTTTGATTTATATGATCTCTTTTCTTTCCCTTCCCTTCTCCATGTAATGCTTTTTCCTTTCTCGAAAAGCTCCATGAGAGTATTTTGTCGACAAATTGAAAGAGGAAAGACAAACAAAAAGTTTCTATTGTAGGGTGTTTTTTTTTCTTCTTATTGTATCATGTTTCAATTTTGACAACTTAATAATATTAACATATTACAAAAAAAGGAGTCTTTTTTTTTGAAAAGGTGAACTCTAGTTGTGCAAATTATCATCGTAATACTTATTTTATATTGATTGAATCAAATTTAAATAGATTAAGTCATAATGAAATATACAAACAATCCCTTTTGATTTCAATTTTCATTTTGATACTCCATTTTAACACTTTACCCTTTAAAATAAAATTTTGACTTGTTATTTGGGGTGAGTTCCTCACTAGGTACACACGTAAAGACATAATTTTTATTTGATTAATAGTATTATTTTAGGTTTTAAAGATAATAAATTACCAGTTGAAAACCCATTTAAATTCATGAATTTTCCCTTCTTTCTTCCATTTTCTCTTTTGAAAAAATGCTTAATTTATCTGCTGATCTCAATATCTATAAAGCTTCAAATTTTGCATTTTTTAAATTCCTTTATTGTTTTGCTTAAGTTTTGTTGAATGTGAATTCAAATTTAAGAGTTGGATCACATTTTTACTTAGTTTTTTTCTGTCTACACCGTACAATCGAAACTCAAATTCAGATCTCCTTTGCTTCTACTTAATAAAATATATCTTTATTTGAAGTTCTAAGTGAATCTTATCTTAAAGAATATCAGGATGAATTGTAACGACCCAAATAATTGTTTTATACTTTAGACTTTTTCCTCCCAATTTGATTTTTCTATAGCTTTATTTATTTGTATATTGTAGGGATGAGTGACATGGTTTTCAAGGTGATCAAATATATTTCATTGAAGAAGTTCCAATTTTAAAAGTTTAGAATGAGAAGTCGACCAAAGTCAAATTTTGGGATAACAAGATTGGAATTGAATTCTGATGGTTTAATTAGTCTGAAGCGTGATCAATAACTTAGACCAATGTTTTACATGGATCCTAAGGGGTTCAATTTATTTTTTTGGATTATTCATGAATTTCTAGTTCTTTTGAAGATTTAGAGTTGACCAAGGTCAACATTTGATCAAGATGACCTCAAGTAGATGTTTGATGATTTCAACGGATTTGGAACGCATTTTAAAAGTAATTTACATATTTAATTTGTGTTTGGAGGGTCTCAGATAAGTTACATGTATTGAAACCAAAGTTAAATTATTGGAGTTGATTGTTGATTTTAGTTATCCCGATGACTGATGAGCACAAAATTTAATGTAATTTAAATGTTTCACTAGTAAATAATATTTCTAAAGAAAACTTACTATTTATTATTCAAATGATTTATTTTAGTTGTTTGTGATTACAAACTGCAATTATTGACTAAACATTGTAGTGAATACAATTAACAACGATCATTATATGGATGAGAAGTAAGGGTAAATGACCGGATAGATGCAAGATTTTACTTAATTAGCTTTGATTCGTTTTATTATTCTCTTGAAAAAAAATGAGTCTTACGAATTCAATAAATAATTAATTATTCTAAAATTTGATAAACCTCTTTCGAGTATCTATTCAGATCACCAAATCAAACTAATGAAAGCCCCAAAAAAGTTCAGAAACTATGGATAGAAATGAATCTTCGGATGATTTTTCATGAATATCACAAATATTAAACCATAATAGATAATTTCAGAGTCTCTCTCAACTACTCACTAAAAATATTCAACTTGAGCTAAATCAATAAATTGATATATTATAGTACATCCCCTCTTTCGTTAAAATATTCAAAAATACCTCAACATTTAATTAAAATTACTACCATGAGTTCAACAAACTAAATAAAAATTGAATCTAAAAACATCAATCAATACATTATATTTGTCAAAATTGTATGTGAAACTTCTCCATATAGTGTTAATTGTGAAGGAAGAAAAAAGAAAATCTAGAATTCATTACAATCAACTTTTAATCGCTATTGTCATATTTAATAAAAAAGATGATAAAAATAGTGAAAATATGTTATCTCCGATTTTTAGCTGCTTTTTCTGTGTTATTCATGTGTCCGTCTTTTTTTTGTGCATTTTTTTGGAGTACCTATATCACGTATATATAATCTTAGATCAAAATAATCCTAAAAAAATGGATTGAAAAATAGTAGAAGCATATCAATTTTATATGAAAGTTGAACTCTTGACCACGATCAAAATAACAACAAACGCCACAACAAAAAAGTCATACTATAGTACAATTATAAGTGTCACAACTTTTTTTTATTACATATTTAATTCTTTTCAATTATTTAAACTATAAATTTTAAAAAAATTAAAGACAAAAATCATAGTTCAAATAAATGAAAAAAATAAAATGAAATATGACGCAAATCTTTAGCTTAAAATAGTGAAATAGATGTAACATAATAGATTTTTTTTTATCAAACGATTTTTAAATTACAGATTGTGATAAAAATATCTATCTTACACTTATCAGTTGAAATCACTAAATTTCTTCGAATATGTTACTGAAACTTCAATTAAGGATATAAAAGAGGAAGTATAAAACACTATGAAAACTGAAGTTATATATTCGGTTTAAATAGTCCAAAATTAATTTTTAGAGTTCTTATTCAATGAGATAAAATAAGTTCAAGGTAAGGCGAAATGAAATAAGTTAGAGCTTAAAATATTGGATAATATTTTTTTAAAAAAATATTATAATTATTTTAGTTAATGCGTGAAATCATCAAAAACACATGTTTTTCTCTCTATTTATTAAATTTGAATCTGATTTTTTTTATAGTATGTATAATTTTTTTATTCAATTAGTTTAAGCATAAACTCAATTTATCGAAACAATTTCAAAATGCATTTGGTGTCTTTTTCTATTAAAAAAAGAAACTCTTATCAACCAAAACTTTGACAAATTGTATTAAAATAATCCTAATTCCTACCCCCAAAAAAAAGTTTAAAGAAAAAAACAAGAGAGAGAAAGACAGAAGGTCACTGTTAGACAGAGAAAGAGAGGCATTTGTCACTCCAAAGTCCCAACAGAGCTGAGCTGCGGTGGTGTGTGGCGGAGGACGGTGGAGCAAAATAGTGATGGGCGTTTCACAGAGCAACAGCAGAAGAAGAAATCATAACTGGAATGCTTATTATTCCTACCCTTCTTCTTCTTCTTACTCTTACTACTCCTCTGACCCTCCTTACCACGCCCACCCCCCATCCCCTTTCCCTTTTCCACCGCATCTCCTCCCACCCCCACCCCCACCTTCTTACTCCTACCCCTCTACCTGCCACTGCACTAATCCTGTAGTGGGTAGGTCTGTTTTTACTCCATATCATAACAATGATTGGTCTGCCTCTTACCTACCTCCTCCTCCTCATCATCAGGTGGTGGGGATGGTGACCCCATCACCTTATGTTGAAACCCAACAAGCTAAGAAAGTTAAGAGTGGTGTAAATGTGCATAAAGATTCGTTAAAGCTTGAGATTGATGAGCAAAACCCAGATCACCATTTGGTTTCTTTTGTCTTTGATGCTCTCTTTGATGGAAAGTAAGTGCTCTTTCCCTTGCTTTGCTTAATTTTTTGAGTTGTTGATGTTTTTGAATTGCGTTGTTGTTTGAAAAATGATGTTAATTGGGAACCCAGTTGAGCTGATTGATTCGGGTACTAAAAATGAAAAATGAGATGTGGTAGCCCAATTTGAATTTGTTCCAAGTGAATTAGTAAATACCAAGAATGAAAGATGAGATCTTTCTTTCTTTTTGTAGTTTCTTGTTAAGGAAATTAGGGCACCTCACTTAAGCCATGCTGTTTATACGAATGTGTGATTTGTCGGATCTCCTTACCGTGTAACGTCTTTACTTCTAGCTGATGGAAGTCTATGTTTTCTAAGAAGATTTCCAAGATCCTCTTTATCATAAGTTTAGAGTTAACAGATTATCCAACTGGGGAAGAAAGATTTTCTTGCTTGTTATGCCGCTAAATGGATGTTGCTTGGCTCTTTGCTCTTACTCTGTGGCCTTACTATTGCGAAAAATTGAAGTTATATCTGCAGATTCATTAGGGTATTGTATCTTACTTTTGAATTGGTGAAGTCTAGTGGGCTAATGGTTACTGGTTTAAGAAGTTATATTATTGTTCATTACTTTACCTTCTCAAAGAAAAAAAGATGTTATACTATTATTCTTGTTTCTTAGTATTGCTATCAAGTTACATTCCTTAATGAACATGATACTAAGATAACTAGCTCCCGTAACTTCAGTAAGATACTGCTCCGGATTTTCCTGTTGCTATCATATATAGAGCTTTTTGACTAAAGAAATTTTGAAGCAAGAGATCCATATAAGCAATATTGACTAGTAGAGATTAAATTTAATTGTATAGGTACACATATGTTATGTCCTATGTTTTCTTGGAGTTCTTTTAAGTTGATTAGAGATTAATCTAGTTTTTAGGGAACCCCAGTTTGTCTTAAAAGACAATTAAGTGGTTGGAACAAAATGGACCCAAGTGCAACAGAATGGATGTAACTGATTTATATAGTTGACCCCTACTAGTTTGAGTAATTGAGGGTGTGGTGTAATAGTTGTTACTGAAGTAATGTCAAGTGCACAAAATGACTCCTCTCTTGCTCCTTCAGTTATCCTTTTGAAAACATCTTTAACTACTTGATGCCGCATCTGTGATTGGAAGATCATCTGAGCTTGTCTGTGTCACTGTTTTGTTTTCTGTTATTATTTTTGATAAGCAAACAACAACTTTTATTAACTTAGCTTGCCAAACATAGAATTCTGATGGATTTGTACAAAACGTCAGCCAGATGCTTCACACATGGCATCCGATTGAAAGAAAGAGATGGGTTGGCAATAAAACAGCCATTTCATTATTATTTTTTACGCAATATTCTGTATCTTGTAAATTAGCTTGGCTTGCACTATACTTGTGTAATTGCTCTGGTTTCTATTATGTAATTTAATATGGGAATTGACTACCCTTCTCTCTATGTTTAGCAATTATGCGACTGATCCAAGAATGAATAAGGGGTAGAATCATTACAAGAGCAATAGTATAGAAACTAATGTCAAAGACCCCATTGAGTTTGAGTCTGAAGTCTGAACAACTCACATGAAATAGATGCGGGAAGATATAAAACTCAAAAGTGATACACAGTACTCCCTGCTGTATAGTTTCAAGTTTGGTAGCAGTATGTAAGTTTTGTTTTATCCACTTGTGTCTCAATGGATTGAAGTGCTCCAATTTGGCCGCTAAATTAAATAATATCCTTATACCAATGATTTTGGTCAAAATTTACAGACCCACACGTGCTTAGCTCACATGAGCTATGCTATACCCATTACAGATCAAGAGAGATTGTGGATTGGGGATCATAGGTTTGTAATCGAAAAGAAAAAAGTAAAAGAAAATAAAAGGTAAGAAGTTATAGAGGCCTAAAGTTTTTCTCTTGTAGACCTTGTAGTGGACTTGAAGTTGAATTGCTTTACCCAAAAAGTGATGTGGTAGAGTTTGAAGTTCGGGATTATGCAAATCTTGATTTTGTTCATTGTTTAATTGATTAAGATCTTGTTGAGCGAATTAAGTTTGTTTTAATGGGACTATGTTGCATGACTTTCTTCACTTAAGTACTTTTTGAACTTTCAGAAAAAAGTTCTCTTCGAGTTCAGCATGATGAATTTGTTATGAACAAGTTATTTAGAATCATAGAATGGATGAAGTGGATAGGAATAGAGCAGAATAAATACTGAAGATTCATATGGCGTATCCCAATTAAAACGGGAACAAGTCCTACTTGTTGTTGTTGACTGCATGCTTCTTTCTTATAAGAAGTTGGTAATTGCTTTGTTGTTTTCCTTCAAGTACATATGAACCTTCCTTGGACTCAAACTCTTTTGTTTGTCCTAATGAATTGATACGTTATCAATTATGTGAACCTCCTGCGTATGCCGAGTGAATTGGTTGAGGTTATTTCTCTCTATATTTTGTACTCTCATATTTATATCGTGGATTGCTCATCTCCTTTGTCGACGTAAGTCGATTGACCGAACTACGTTAAATCTTTGTGTCTTTTGGTATATTTTGTCTTCTTACTCGTGGTCTTTCGAGGTTTGTTTTGCTAGCTTCCGCATTACACCTGCTTGTTTCAGTCCTAACAAGTGGTATCAGAGCAAGGCTCGTCTCACCCGATGTTGGGGCTCCCAAAATAAAAATTGCCCATGCACCAGATGCTAAGCACTGGGCGTGAGATGGGGTGTTAAAGAATGACAAAAGTCGCACATCGGTGGTTAATGAGATGGATAGACTCCTTATAAGGCTTGGGCAATCCTCCTCTCTTTGAGCTAGCTTTTGGGGTGTGAGTTAGGCCCAAAACCTAATTTAACAGAGGCCACTGGCAAGTGTTTATATTTTGTCCCGATTGTAAAAATCTTTGAATAACCCATGCATTACACAATCAGAAGCATGTGAACTACTGCTTTCAGACAACTTTAGATTATGATCTAGTGTTTGGTCATAAATTTTCGTCTACCGCTTAGACCATCGGCTAAATTTCCCGATTGAACTTATGTGAATTCAACCCCACGGATAATTTTAGACAGTGGCATGTAATGCTTGCACATACACTTTGAATTTTTTTTGTCTATAGGTAGTTTAGTTTCTTTTACAACTTTAGTCCATCGTCGAAAGTTCCCAGTGAACTTCTAAAATTAATTTTTGAGATGTAATTAGAGGGACGAGGGTAATGTGTGATCTTAAATTCTTGATAAGAAAGTGGCCTTGATTACTCTTTTTTGTTATAAAGCTTTAGGAAGAATTTACCAGTTTCAAAAGAGAAAAAAAACTTTACTAAGGCTAGGAAAAAGACATAGTTTTAGTTGGGTTGGAAAGGTTCCTAATCAGAATACAAGGGTCTAAAGCTTTGAAATTACTTGAGAGAAAATGCTCCCAAGCACGAAACGAGGTGATTTTCTAAAATCCGACTGACATCATGTAAGCTCATTAGTTTTTCTTCAATCTCTTCTGATTGATTAAAAGCATGGTTTGCGATTTCATTAACAAGTTTTAAAAAATTCTACTTAACAGCCGGGGATAAATCTTTTGAAGTCACTGAGGACATCTCTGGGGCTGAAATCTGGTTTGACTTGGTGGAGAGAAAGAGGAATTTCATGCACTCGTCATTAGCAACAAAGAGGAATAAGTAAGAAGGTGTTGATGTGGCTTTGTGATTTAATGCACCTGCCATCAGCAACAAAGGGGAATAAGTATGATATCTGGAAATTAAATGACCATATATTTTTTGAAAATGGTAACATTGTATTATATCACAAAAGTACTTGGGTTGTACTCAAACCTTATATACTAATGCACTCCAGACACTCCTACTCTATATCTATATTGAGTCTAAAACATCGACTATAGAGGCAGTGTCTTTTGAGTATAATTGAACATAACAACAAAATGCAGTTTAGTTTAACATCCTGCACACTATTTTCTATGCCTTCAAAACATCTGGAATTCCTTTCTTTCCAGATCGCCCACCATATTGAAGCAGGGATAATTCTCCATCTAGTTTTGTCTTTTGCAAGGGCACTTGCCTCCTCCCAGCTATACAAGGCCTCAGTAACACTCCTAGGCATAGTCCAGGATATGCCTTTAAGGCTCAAGAAAATTCTCCAAAGCTGCTGAGTGTATTTGCAGTATAGAAATAGATGGTTTACAGTTTCTAAGGTTTCCCCACATAGGAAACACCTAGAGCATAAGGTTATCCCCCTTTTCATTACGTTATCCTGAGTCAAGGTAGCTTCCTTAGCTAGCAGCCAAATAAAGCATGAAACTTTGTGTGGGATTCTACACTTCCATAATTGGAAATTAAATGACCATATATGCAACTATTTTTTATCTCGAAAGTACAACAGTTGTGGCAGAGCCATTAGTGTAGTAGTAGTTCAAGGGGAGAGGAGATCAGTTATTGGTCCTGAACTGTCCCTGAACAAAGGATGGGGAGATATAGCAGCAAAAGTTGAGAAGTTCATGCTCAAAGGTGCAGTGAACCCAGTCGTCAGACAACTGTAGAATCAGAACATCTCTTATGCTGATATAGCCACTCAGAGTAAATGGCAGGCAAAGAAGGGGAATCTCATTTTCGAATATCAGAGTGAACGTATCTGTGGTACTTCTGTAATCATGGAAAATGACTTGCTAAGCAGATGTCTAGTAAGGGGGTTATTCAGCGAGGCTGGAAGCTCCCACTCAGTCAGAACTGTGAAGATAGTAGCGGCTAAATGGAAATTAGCTTTTGGTGTTCAGTTATACCTCAATGAACTGTAGTTTTTGTTTGAATTTCCTAATGGGAAAATGGCCGAACAAGTAATGCTAGGTGTGACTAGAGATGGAAACAAGAACCCCTTCAGCTGAAATGGTGGTGCCCGATTGCTTGTGCTCAGGAGAAAGCAATCATTGATTGCTTGTGGATCATGGCTGTCGGTCTACCTCTAGATCTTTGGTCAAAGGAGGTTATGAAGGAGATAAAGGAGAAA